GCTAGGGCCACTGGGGCTGAGTGCTGCTGGGCTTCGGCTGACTGCTGGAGCTGCCCCAGCTCTCAGACGGTGCACAGCGCCCTGCTGAGCTGCCATGTGAGTACCAAGCGGGGGGGGGGGGGGGGGGCTGCAGGGCAGGATCCTCACTGCCCTGCACTGCATGTGGGGGCTCTTCCATGTGTGTCCAGAGGCCCCAATTCCTGCTCCTGCAGCCAGTGAGTGTGGGGCTTTTCTTTTTAAGTGCTGGGAGGCTGGGCTGGGTGGAGGATGGGGCCAGACAAGGCAGCCGTGGGGGCTTCTCCCATGGCTTCCCCAGCTATGCCTGCTTCTGCCCCAGTAAGGGGAGCTGCAGGGGCTATGCCCCTGCTGCTGCTTGCCCAGCCGGCATGGGGGGGTGTGATGCAGGCGTGGCTCGATCCAGGCAGCAGCAGGGCATAGCCCCTGCTCCCAGCACTGCTGTGCCCGCATCAGCACTGGGAGTGGGGGGTCTGCCCTACCACCGCTTGCTAGCCAGGGCACAGGAGGACAGGATGTGGTCATGGCAGTACTGGGAGCGGGACTCTGCCCTGTAGCCACTTGCCTCCTTCCTCCTGGAACGAGCCACACCTGCATCCCACCCCCCCACACCTGGCTGAGCAAGCAGCAGCAGGGCAGAGCCCCCACTCCCAGTGCTGCTGTGCCCGCATCCTGCACCCTCCCACCCACCTCCCCGAGTAGCGTGGCCCCATGCCCTGGCTGGGCAGTTTGTCTCAGCCCCAGCCCCAATCCCTCCCTCCCTCATGTCCCTTCCCTCCCCCAACCCTAACAGACTTACCAGCTAGAGGCAGCTGTCACCTGCCTGTTTAGTTTATGTCCGAGTCAGCTTAATCTTTTCCGAATATTTTTCCAAATTGATTCGGATGCTTCGAATCGATTCAGAGCTTTTACTTGGTCTCTCAGGTCGGTTCAGATTCAGAGATTCGGTCCCCGAATCAGGCCATATCTCCTCTGAATTGAATCAGCTACTGAAGCTTTGCACAGCCCTAACACAGCAGCATTGCAGGATAAAAAATAGCTCAAATGGTGGAACATCAAGACCGTTAAAAAGAAGAGTGGGTCGTTAACACCTGTGGAAGGAAGAGTCTAGAAGGGATTAGGTAGATTCTAATGAGCCATAAAATCAATTGACTCCCTCAGCACTGCCTGACTTGAAATGCTGCTGCCGCTGCCAGGCAGTTGGTTTTAAACTTTGGGTGGAGCAGGAATCAAGGGGAGGTGCAAGTGCACCACTGCACCAACCTGGATCCACTCTTGCCTGGCAGTCAGTCTAGGAGGTTAGCAAGAGCTTAATGCAATTGCTGTGGTCCTCAGCAGGAGGGCAGTCCCAAGCACCTCTTCTCCAGTTTGCAGAGTTTCTACCCACCTCCCCGCCTCCAGAAGATTCATCTTGGTCAATGAGTGTGATAGGCAGGTGTAGGTTTCAGGTCTCGCCTAGAATCTTTGCATCAGCAACCTCAGTGCCTAAATGCAGCTGGAGCAGACAATAATAGAACACATTTGTGAACCAAAATCAGCCAGAGAGTCTGAGAGAACATGCAAGTCTGTTTGGAGGGGGAAGTGAAACAGACGGGGGGAGTCAGGACAGGATTGGGAGTCAGGACTGAGCCCAGTGGCTCCCAACCTTTTTTATACTGTGGACCAGCAAACATATTTAAATGTAATTTCCATATTTAAATTTGGGGCTGCCCAGGAAGAAGAGGCTCCACTGCTTTCCCTAGGAGCAAGCAGCAGAGCTGCCTCCTCACCCTCCGCAACAGGCAGAGGTGAGGGGTCTTGCCCGGGCCAGTGCAGGCCCCGGTACCTGCTGCACAGCCATGGTGGCAGCAGTGGGATGGGGTGCATGGAGCCAGCTGCCTCCCTCCCAGGACTGCCTTGCCACCCAGCTTTGACCCTACACATCACTGCCGGCAGCCCAGCAGCCAACCCTTCATGGCCCAGTAGTTGGAAACCTCTGTTGTAGAAGGTAGAGAGTAGTCAGCAGGTGATATGAAAGGGTGAGCAAAATGCAGCCTGCAGGTTGGATGCAGCCCACCAGGCCATTCTATCTTGCCCGTGGAGCCCCTAAAAAATTTAGAAAATTAATATTTATCTGCCCCTGGCTGCCTGTCATGCAGCCCTTGATGGCTTGCCAAAACTCAGTAAGCAGCCCTCCACCCAAAATAATTGCCTGCCCCTGTGAGGTGACTGGTGCTGAAGTCCTTCATTTAGGTCAGCGGTTCTCAACCTTTTTAGACTCAAGGCACCCCTTGGAAAATGCCAGATCTTAGCTTTCACTCATTTTTTTTGAAGACAGAAAAATAATAGAGCAGTTCTTGTGTTGCAAAGAGCTCAGAAAGACGACTACAGCTCAGCATATTTTTGACACCATAGATTCTCATCTGAAATCTCTGGGTTTAGCTTGTGATTCATGTCTTGGTGTTTATCCACCTAACAATGCTAATATTGTGCAGCACCCCGTGACACCCTTAAAAGGAGCTCACACCACCCTGGTTGAAAATCGCTGACCTAGGGTTCCATTTGAGGGCCAGTCCTGTATACCAAGGTCATTTTACAATAAGAGTATTTGAGGGAGGAAAAACTGCCCATGTGATATATGACCAGCAGTATTTCCTTGGAGGAGTGGGTAGTGGGAGGACATGAAGCACATTGGCAGAGAACCCAGCATGAGCTGCTCCTTTCTGGAATTTCCCTGTGGTTTGGGTAAAAAGTTCATGCTGAAAAGCCTTCTCTGTAGACTTAGACAGGCAGGGGAGAGCTGCTATCAATCAGTGTGCTATGCGCAGAGGAAGAGGAACAACTGACTGGATTTTTGTAGCCCATTCCTGACAGGCATCGAGCACTAAGGAACATTCTCCTCAGTTCATAGAGATGAAAGAACAAACCAAGGAAGTTTGACACGACACCAGACCAACGAGGACCGTGGCTCTAACTTCTTGCCTCTTCACATGAAATCCCACTCCATCCCCTTGGGATCCCAGCAGTTCAGCTCTTCTCAGAATATTTCCCCTGGGAATGGTCCTCAGGTCTGTAACCAGGGCTCTTACGGCTGCTGCCCAGATGGCCGTACTCCAGCTTCTGGCCCCTTTGGGCAAGGCTGCTCCATGAGCGTGTGCCATCAAAGCAGGTAGGATGAAACGGAGGGGTTGGGCTGATGCAGCTGAAATGTGCAAGCTGCCTTGGTTAGGCCAGGTTCATAGATAAGCTATGTTTACTAAAGGTTTTTGTTCTCTTGCTGTAGGTATGGATGCTGCCCTGATGGAATATCCACTGCCCAGGGCCCAAGCAACATGGGATGTTCAGAGTATTACAGAGATGCTTATGCGAGCAGTGATGGCCTCACTACAGCCTCCCCAGCAGTAAGTCCCAGAACCCTTTGCTAAAGAGAGACCTGTTTGAAAGTACCCAGCAGCTGTCATGGCTACAGCAGGCACGTCTACATGAGATGTTTACTATGGAGCTGCCTAATTAGCTCCACAGCAAATATCTCCATGTCTACATATGCACCCTTATTAGGGCACACAAAACTAATAAACTCTGGAGCAGGCTAGTCCTTGTATTTAATGCAAGTACCACACATGTAGATGCTGCCCTGCTGGCTGGGGCATGAGGGTGCTTCAGTGCAGGGGCTTCCTGCTGCCTAACCCTTTCTGCAACACATTGAGCCTGGTCGGAGCAGCCCTGGGCTGCTGCCAGCTGAAGCTGCTCTGGCTGTGCTCAATACACTCCACACGAATAAACTCTTGAGCAGTATACTTCGGAGCTTTTTTGCTCACAGGTGCACATTCAAATGGCATGCTTGAAAGCAAAAACTCCCTCCAGAGCAGTAAGTTCCACATTTTGTTTATCAGCATTAATTTCACATGTAGATGTGCCCAGTGACAGGTTCTTGTTGTGTTTTCTGCACCTGGAAGAAACTCTGGAGAAGGGAATTAAGGAGGCCTTGTGCACTTGGTATACCAGCATTCCTCTCCCCCTTTCGTGCGTAGAGACCCACTGTTTTTCCTCCTGACCCAGAACACAGTAGGGCTGCAGCAACTTCTGCCTGTTCTGCAAAAATGAAAACTAGAGGAAACCTGTCTTGGGTGACAGACCTATTATTCCTTCTTGTAGGATACAAGGGTTAAACTGAAACTGGAAGGTTAGGTACCATGTGTAGAGGGGGAAATACCTATTTATTATGCCTGTGCCCCTGCCATTCTATGAGGCTGCCTTGATCATGGCTGATAGTTCTTTCTAGTATGAGATGCTAGGTTGTGGAGCAGTAGGGGGTCATTTGGGATAACAAAATAAATCACAGTCCAGAGGAGTTCAGTGGGTCATCCCAGAATGAAAGGAAGAGGGGTCAGGATGGCTCAGACGCTATGGATGAGATTCACTTCAAAGTTACCAGCTCTAAGTTAGCTAAGGGGAATGAGTGAAATTCCTTACCGTCTGGCAATCTAGTGGCATGAGACGGCTCTCCATCTAATTCCTAGAGGACAGAGCACATCACCATTGCCACTAACTGTTCCCTTTCTTGTTGCTCAGCAGAAATGGCTGTGGAGGATACTTTTCTCAGTACTGTTTCTGTGAGGCCCACTAGGCCACAGGGGGTTGGACTAGATCACCTGTGGAGGTTCCTTCCAGCCCTGTGTCTCTATGGCCAGTGTGATTTTTTTTTTTGGATAGATAAACAGAGGACTTCCAGTTCTGGGGCTGGTCAGTCTGAATTCTCTCACTGGCATAAATTTTATTAAAATGAAAACAGACTTGAAAGTGACTCCTTGCACGTCTAGTCCTGTCCACCAGGCAGTTTGTTGGTCGTTCCCATACATGCTGTCACTGCCGCTGCCATCCTACAGCTCTTGGCTTTTGTTTCACTTTAAGGCAAGCCAGGCTTTGTCCCAGCAGCACCAGTCGGATCAATGCCGAGGTTCAATGTATGGCTGCTGCTATGACAATGTTGCTTCAGCTTCAGGACCTGAAGGCGAAGGGTGCTTCCATAGACCCTGGCAACGTAAGTGAGGTTCTGGCTTTCTGATTTAAAACAGTGTCCTTCTCATGGAAAGGTCCAATGTGATGAGAAAAAATGTGTTTTGTTTTGTTTTTTTTCATTTGTTCTGTAAAATTCAATAAACAATAGCTTTCTACAATAGATTTTTTTTATGATGGTGAGGGGAAAAAAAGTCTTAGCGAGAAGGTCCCGTTCTTGACGTTAAGTTCTGTAGGTTATTCAAGAAATCCCTTTGGAGCCCTATTGCATCGTTGTAGAGCCCTGTTAGTTTAATCTCTGTCAGGGCTGTGGGGTTTCTTCTCCCTTCCCTAGCGCATCTTTGCATTGCTGCAGTCAGTTGCTCTGATGCCACACAGTCTACGAATCCTTCTCTGATCTGTGGGCCATGCAGTACTCTCAAGCAACCTGACTGACTTAAGTGTGGTTTCAGGGCTATAACTCAAGGTAGAACATGTTGCCTAGAGTGAGGCAGGGGCTTTGATGCCCTAGCTCTGAAGGTGGAGGACAGTGCAGTCATAGTGGAGAAACTGAGGCAAAAAGAGAGCTGAATGGCAGGAGCCTGGGCAGTTGGGACCAGAGCCCAAACTTCCCATCTGTCAGTGTTGTGCTCTGGGCCCCAAACGCTTTTCCCTCCACTGACAGCCTCAGGGGTAGAGTAGTGAAGCCATCATTTCAATAAAAAAGGTGAGTTGTGGATTGTCTCCTCACAGTTGCATCTTTTTCTGTTCTGTCATTTGTTGGTAGCCTACCCGGTCAGGTGTCTGCTGCCTAGTGCCCATGGCCCCTGTGCAGACTGGACCGTTCGCTGGTACTTCATAACTGCCGTCGGCAAGTGCAACCGGTTCTGGTATGGCGGCTGCCACGGCAACCAGAACAACTTTGTCTCGGAGGAGGAGTGCATGACGGCATGCCACGGGTCTGTGGGAGCAAGTGACGGGAGGCACCGCCAGCACTCGGAGACTTTGCATGTCCACTCTGGGTCCCACCTGCAAAAGGGCAGTGCCCAGGGCCAGCAGCAGCCGCTTGCAAGAGGGACCATGCATCAAGGCCAAGGAGGAGAGCAAAGGTCCTCCCATTTTGCTTCAGTCAGGCCTGAGAGCCCCGCTGCCTGGCAGGACACAGGGCTGCACCACAGGGAGGGCAGCTGGAGGAGGGTCATGAATTTTGATGTGCTGCCAGCATCTCCTCAGAGACCTGGCACAGTGGAGAGCCAGCATGGAGGTCCCCACCATGCTGCAGTGGGTGGGGAAAGGAAAACAGATGGGTTACACAGCTTGGGTGAGACCGTGGTACCTGGGCACTCTGAGAGACAGGTGGTGCAGCGTGTGGGCGAGCAATGGCAGAGCTCTTCTGAAGGAGATGTGTCAGCAGTGGATGGATTCGGGCGTCGAGCCTCAGCAGGGTTCTCCTCTCTGCAAACCCTGAACAGGTGAATCTCTTGCACTAACCATCTACAGTGCTGAAGCACTGAGCATCCCTTTCTGTGGGACAGAAACGTTTTCTGATTCAGGACTGCCAGATGTGTCCCATTACAGGTTGGCTGCAACAGGGTCCCTTTGGGAAGACAGGCTAACACGTCCCCAGGGACATGTCTTCTGGCATCCTCTTCTGGGCCTTCACGCTGCAGTCCGTGCACATCCTACACTCTTGCTGATTAGTGGAAGTATTGGATGGACAAAGACTGTAGGACTGGGCCCTTAGTCACCATCCTGTCGCCAGTGGGCATTTTACACTGGTCTTTATCAGTCTCTTTGAAATCAATGGGAATTGTGCCTGCTTAGGCAGGGGTTATTTTAGCACTGTGGTGTGCAGCAATGGGTTAATACTAGAGATGGAGTCCAGCTGCAAAATTTGGTTCACTATCCAGCTGCTGAACACTTCAAAGATGGGGAATTTGTGGAGCTAGGTTTTGGTTTGGGTAGCATGTCTAATTAGCTGGTCACCTCTGGAGACCTGGACTCAGATTTCAACATAGCTATCCCAGAATGAGGAATTTTCTTTGTGTATGCAGCACTCAGTTGGTCAAGGTTGGCCTTTTCTCTACAGAAAAGTTGCAGCCATAATCTGCAGGGCATGGGCACTTGGGTCTAGTGCCATAACACAGCCACATAGATCAGTGGGTTCTAGTTTAGCCTGTAGCAGTGTGACTCCCATCTTGCCTGCTAGAGTCACCATAGAGGCAGCAGAGAAAGGGTAAGAGCTAGGGACACAGGGAATCATAGGTAGTGAAAATGTCTCTCTCTTTCAGGGTCATCCTGGAGGGAGTTGAGTCTTCCCTAGTGGAGGCATCTGTGGGACAAAATATTCGGCTTCTTTGCAAGACAGGCACTTCTCACTTCTCCAGAGCTGAGTGGCAGAAGGATGGGCGGCCAGTATCATCTGCAAGGTAAACCTGTGCCTCTTGGTCCCATGGCAGAGCTGCAGTCCCTTGCCCCTTCCCCCACATGCTCTTTTTCTTTGCATAACTTAAAAAAAATGGGTTTGAGACAAATGGAGCCAATTAGGAAATACAGCTTCCCTTAAATGACTCCCTTTTGCTTGAACCAGCTGTTCTGGGTGGGGCAGTGAAGCCATGTGTTTATTATTCTCAGCTAGGATGGGTTATTGCTTCACAAACAGCATCTGCAGGAACGAACACTACAGTCATGTTTCTGTCACCAACTTACTGGCTCCCTCAGCTGTACAGTGCTGCCCAGTGCAGGCTGCCCCGTGACCTCGACACAGCATAGCCATGTACATGCAGGCAGATTCATTAGGATGGAAGCAGGCAAACTGGCACTGTCAGCTACATTCATGCAGTGCTACACAAATTCTGGATGTGGCCTGCATAGATCTGGAGAGCACAGGCTGTAGGGGACAGGACTAGGAGCACTGGACTCGAGCTGCAGCAGAGGGAATTCAGGTTAGAGATTAGGAGGAGCTTTCTGACTATGAGGGTGGTCAAGCATTGGAACAGGTGCCTAGAGAAGCTGTGGAATCTCTATTCTTGCTTTCAAGAGCAGGTTGAGCAGGCACTTGGCTGGGTTGGTTTAGTCAGGGTTGATCCTGCTTGGAGCAGAGGACTGACTAGATGACTTTGTGAGGTCCCTTCCAGCCCTACTTGCCTAGGATTTATGACCAGCATGGTGTGGCTGAAGGTGCTGCTGGGCTTGGTGAGTTTGCCATGTAGATGTGCCCAGTGTGTGTGTATGTGTGTCAAATCCTGTTTACTGGCAGAGAAGGCAGGCTGAGGCACTGCACATGTGCATTGATAGCCAAGTGCTGTGGAACTCAGCCTGCTTATTGCTGTTATTTATTGCTCATTCAGTTTAAAACTGAACCTCTAAAACACCTCCTTAAAGCCCAGTTTTCCAGGGGGTGCTGGGAAGTCTCCTCCTGCTGCAGCTTGCTGCCCACCAGCCACTTTCTCTTGTAAAATCTCAAGTCAGGCCAGGAGTCCTGAACTACTCCTGGTACTGCTTTTACACTTGTAAGTGGCTAGAGAGCCACTAGGGTGAGGGTGTCTAACCACTTCAGGGGAGGGAGCAGTTGCTGTTTCTCCTTTATTCCCTTTGTTTCCCATCTCAAGGCTGCCTCTGTCTCCTCTCCTCTGTGCCCTTCAGTGGTGTAGGGATTTTTCTTACTCCAGCAAGGAGGGCCCAGTCTGGCAACTGGATGGCAGCTGTGACATCAGCACAAAAGGCTTCTTGGCCAAACAGAACATCTCTGGGGAGTTGGCACCCTGAGCCAAGCTGTGATACATAACCATGCTGGTGTCCCATCTGCAGGCACACCTACCAGTCTGACAGTTCCTTGGTGGTCAGCCAGGTCAGGCCTGAGGATGCCGGGACTTACACGTGCATCATTTCTAATGGGCGGATGGAGAGACGAGAGATTCGGCTAAGGATCAAAGGTGACGCGCAATCTTCCATTTGAAGCCAGAGCTGTAATTATCTGTCCCTTTTTAAGAGTCCTCCCAAGCAGGAACAATTAAAGGCAATTGCAGAGAGAAATTTGTAATGAAACTTCCTCCATTGTGGTGCCTTGCCAAAGAAATGCTGGTCATTGTGCCAGCAGCATTACCTCCTTCCACAGCAGTGTTCTCCTGAGAGCCAGTCATAACCCAACAGCATGTTTCCTCTACAAATGCCTGCCAAGTCTTTACTCATAACTAGGCCAATCTGAGTTCCCTCAGCGCAGCCTCAAGCCAAGAGTTGGCCTGAATGCCAGGAGCAAGCTCTCCCCCTGCTGCAGTGCCATTCATAACTGGAGCTGTGATTCGTCAAATGCTAGTTGCAGCCCCGGCACGGAGCTTTCTCAGTACACTGTCTCTTTTGAGTGAAGTCTCCTCTCTCCTAATGCCTTAAACAGGCCAAGAGGGGTGCATTCTGGTCTGGAATCACTTGGCACAGCTGTCTGTCCTACTCTCAGCCTAGAGCTTGTCATATATTAATGGGACAAAGGGTCCCAAGACCCTGGCTAGACAGTCTTGCCCCTCTGCTCAGGTTCAAACCAATTGCCTTATTTGGGGTCAGGAAGGAATTTTACCCCATTGTCAGATTGGTATGGACTATGGGAGTGGGGGGAGGGGAGGTTTGCCTTCCTCTGTAGCAGCAGGCATGGCTCTCTACTTGGGATCTCCTGAGTGTATATTAACCAGCTTTTATAGAAGCAGGACATTGGCTGCTGTGGTCCCCCTGCTTTACCTGTGACAGTTTAGGGTGTTAAGTCTTGTCTTGTGTCAGGGTTGCCTGTTTTTTCTAAGAGGCTGGATTATGGATTGTATGGGATGGTTTGGATAGGTATGATCCTGCCTCAGGCACGGGGATGGACTAGACGATCTCCGGAGACTGACTTCTCTGATTCTATGACAGACTGACCTCCTGTGTCTCTTGACGACTGAGACAGATTTGGGCTTTTACCTAGAATTATGCATTTGGGGTCTAAGCTATTTTCTATCATTTAAAAACACGTGCACTATGTAAAGAGATGTCTAACCCCTGTAGGGAAAAAATGGGAAGATACCCCCATTAGGCACTTGCAATGTGAGCTAGTCTCTACCTTCAGCTCCTCTCTGCCTTTCTTTCTCTGCAATGGCAGAGACAGCAAAGGGTTTTATGGCCCAAGGGGAGCTGCTGCACAGACACTGGAAAGAAAGAAAGGCATCTAATATCTCCTAGCCTCATCTGCAGCTCCCATTCACAGGCACCACACACACACAGCACTCGTCTGCCAGGAAATAGATGGTTAAAAAGTTCTTGTTTCCAGTTCAGCAGCTGCCTTAACAGTAAGCAAACCCCACACAAGAGGTCATGGCTCAAAGGACCACTTCATTCACATGCAGCATTGTGTTTTGAATAGAGGGCCATGGATCTGCTCTGGCAGAGAGCAGGAGAGGTCAGCATCCTTCTGAGGAGACTCATCCACACAGAGACCTCTCCAGGGAAGTTAAAACTGTGCGTGTACCCAGTTCCTCAGTTTATCAACAACCCTCGTATAGGTAAGACCAGCAGCAGATGTGCGTTGTGAGAGTGACTGGGGGTGGGAGCCAGGCAGCTGCTCGTTCTCTGCATGCTCTCAGGGCAGTGAGGAGGGTTGGGTGCATGGAAGTGGGGGTAAGTGTAGATCCCAGTTACACTGTTGTGGGTATGGCAGACTGTTGTCACCCCATGAAGCAGCATGCTCCTGCTGTGCTGGGAGGGACACAGTGACCACCTGTAGAGGAGCAGGGCTTAAAGCAGGGGTGGAAAAAATGGCAGATCCGGCTGGTGGCCAGACTCCATTTCCCAGCAGCCCTTGCCTGTGTTGCTTTAGGCTGGTTGCCATGGAGACCCCGGAAGCAGCAGGGCCATACAGCAGGGGGTGGGGCTAGGGTTTCCATGGTGACTGGCCCCAGCAGTGCTGGCAGGATGTGTGGCTGGGCTGGGAACTGCTCCCGGGCCAGGGCCAGGACCTTGTGGTGGTGACAGCATGGTCTGGAGCTGGGGTAGAGTGTGATCTGCTGCCTACATGCCCCTACCCAGATCACAGCTCTGCCCTGGCTGTGGACCACACTGCCACGGCCACAAGGTCTTAGCCCTTGCCAGTGCTGCTGGGGCCGGTCTCTATGGAAACACCGGCCCCACGCTGTCATGGCCCCACCACTCCTAGGGTCTCCGTGGAAACCAGCTGCAGCAACTCACGCAGCAGCTGCTGGAAATGGAGTCCACCATGGACTGAACTTTGCCCCTCCTTACTTTAAAGGAAAGCAGATGACCAGGGTCTATGCTGCCCCAAGTGTGTTTTTGCTTGTTATTTCCTGATGGGAAGGAGGGTTGCATATTGGGGCTCTGAGGGAAATGCAGAGGTCCCCTTCTCCCTCTCCAGGGGGAAAAAACAAGGCTGGTGTTGGTTGAGCTAAGCAGTCACTGAATCTCTCCATGTCTGTGGGTATCTGTATTGCAGATTAATAATGGCTAAGGAGGAACCGTCAGTGGTGGATGCCAACATTGGGGAGAGAGTCAGATTGCCCTGCCGTGTAGAAGCCTCCCCTGCTTTAACCATCCAGTGGCAGAAGGATGGGCGGCCTCTCTCCTCTCCCAGGTGAGTTCACAGGCAGCTCTTGAGTATGCTGGCATTGGGGTGCTGGTGAGGCCATGCACCTCCGCCCTCTTCCTGAGAGAACCAAGGCCCTAAAAACCAAGTGGCTGGGACTTGCACTAGTTCGCCATGGTTAGTCCAGTCTACTGGGGACCAGAAATGGTATTGAGGTACATAGGTGAGCCCCCACCCCCCCACTCGCACATACAACTTAGACCCTGAGCATTGGAGCCTCAAGGACACCGTTTGTGAGTGGTTCTGAAGCTGAAATTTGTTCACATGCAAGATTCACAGAACAAAGACACGTGGCAAGCATGTCAGCAAAGAGCAGTCTGTGGATGGTTCACAGAAAGTGGGTTGGGGGTTGGACATTTCCCAGCTGTGTAGAAGAGACACTGGGGGCGACACTTGGGGCTACCCTGGGGGATATGCCTAGGCAGAGAGAGTTTCCCAAAAACCTGTCTCAGCAGTGGTGTGTATTTGTACATGGGATATGATGGCACAGTTCTCATGAATGCTAATGGGAGTCACAACCCTGTTCAAACTCTCTGGCCTGCTGCTGAGAGTTGGCCACAGCTTGTTACTAGAGAAGCTACACTCCGCTGCAGTCCTGCTACTCTCCCCACAGCCACATGGTACCTGTCCCTTCCCAGAACTCAGGGACTTTCTGGCTTTGGTTTCCAGGCACAGACAGCAGGCAGATGGTGCCCTGGTGATCAGTCGGGTCAGTGCTACAGATGCCGGCTTCTTCACCTGCATTGCTTCGAATGAGCATGACCAGGACCAGCACCGGGTCCAGCTCCGTCCCATAGGTACCGAAAGGAGAGAGAACATTATTTTATAGCATTAGAATATTAAAGAGAGTAGGGAAGTGTGCAGATCCCCTTTCTGCTTGTGGAACTGGCCTGTTTTCTCTCTGGCCAGTGGAGAGCAGGGAATATCACAGTCGCCCCACATGGAGGTTACAGACAGGAGCACGGGGTTGCCATGTTAGTTGCTTCCCCAGTGGGTGCAAAGTCTTTTTGTGACTCAGATAGGCCTGGTTGCCATGTACAATTATGCTAAGCCAGGGCTCTGGGAAGAGGGGGTGACAGTAGGCTTAATAGCTGCACCACAGGACCTCATGTACAGGTTACTGCATTATGGACAAGCTTCCCTCACAGGTGCAGGGAAGGAGACCAAAGAGGTTCCTTTTCTCATCTATGTGATATATTTGGACCTCACAGAAGGAACAAAGCTGTGTAAGGGCTTAACTGTCTGCAGTGGTGTTTGTTAGGGCATGTAGAGCACACTGGGGGGCTTTTCTTGTGAGGTGTGGCTTTGCCACCAGAGTTACATACAACAAGAGCATCTTCTTGATTATCTCTCTCTGGCCAGGAGAGCTGAGGATCACCGGCCTTCTACCAAGCATCACCGTGACTGAAGGGGAGGACGCACATCTCCGCTGCACTGTGACAGGCAACAAGGTGACAGTGAGATGGTCGAGGTGAGCAGGACTTCCCTGTTTCACAGCATCTCCCTTCCCTCCCCTGAATTGCATTTTATTCCCTTCTCTGGCCCTGGTATGGAACCTGCTTGACCTCGCCTGTCTGGGCATCCTGTGTTGTAAAGAACAAAAGCACAAGCCCTCCTTTAGCATCATCATGATCCTGGACAGCATCTCCCAGCCCTTCTCAATTAAGCCTCTTAAGTGACTATTCTTTCTCTTAAAGAAACCCTTTAAAAAGTGTGTGTAGGTGTGTGGGTCTCTCTCTGCTTGAAAATGAGAGTTTTATTTGGCTGGATTCTTTGCTGAAGAGGAACAGGTTAGTAATGGTTTGGGTCTTTCACTGAGGGAAAGTGGCTGCACTATATCTTTAAACAAAGGTGGATTTTCTTCCATGTGTGTTGCACATTTTGAATTATAAAAAACAAACTAGGGGTCAAATAATCTGACTAAAACCCTTTTCATTAAATCATATTTCAATTATTTGGTTGCTGTGAGTTGATAACTCTGCTAGTTCCTTAGTTTTGTAAAGGATGTTCCAAGAGAATAGCTCTGTACACAAATTTCCAGTGTGAGAAATAAAACAAGGGTGTTTTCTAAGGGGTTTTCTAGGAGGAATTAAAAATGGCACTTCAGAGAGAGCAGGAGGTCAGCCTAGCTGATCACTGCTGTCTAGCGCTTGCTGCCAACCCAGGGCTTTGGTGGAACTGAGAGGAACGCCCTTCTCCTCACAGTCTCAACTCCATGCGATACACATGCTTTCACACAGAGCCCACAGCTTGGTGTTCCCAGGACTAAAGCCTGGGTGGCTTAGTCTTAAACTCAGTCCTATCTGTTGCGGCTGTATTTTGGTAGTCAAATTCACTCCCTTTGCTTACTGTCTTGGGCTTTTAAAAGAAGAGCCGGGGGGGGGGGATTCCCCACCCCCTGAAAATGAGGCCACTTTTCTCAAATGGCAAAGAGAGCTCTGACCCTTCAGCATTTAATGTGGTAACGGGCACTTGTGTTTTTCATGGCAGGAACGGGGTGCCAGTGCGAGCAGATGGCCACCATGTCTATCTATCCCAAGACGGATCCCTCATTATCAACAATGCCCAGGCAGGAGATGAGGGATCCTACACCTGCAGCGCCTACCGTGGAAGCAACTCAGTTAGTGCCAGCACGGAGGTAAAAGTGGTCAGGAGCAGGCCTGAAGGTGAGTATGACCTACCTTCCCCGCCCCCTTCAGATTGTCATTGGGTCTGCCTGCTTGTCTGATGCTGCAGCACTGTCATTCTGTTTCTGGGCCTGACTGTAATTTTATTTCCAGGCACAAATAAAGCTAGTGTTTGGGTACATTAGGTGTAAGCTGTTTAGTTTCAGGCTTTGCTTGTCTGTCCGCCTCAGGTGTGAGGTCCTGCACCCAGTGTGCAGTACCGACAGTGGCACAAAAGACTGGACCACAGGAGCCCAGAGCCTAACTCACTGAGGCAAACAGTGGTCAAGGTTGAGCAAGTTAGGCTCTGAAACCCATATCCAGGCACCAGCCCACCCAAGCGTTGGTCTGAGGGTGCCAAGTGCTCCTTGCAGGAGCTTGGAAAACCCATCAAGCTGCTCTAGGCTTTTAAGCAGAAACATTCTGGAAGGTGGAGAGGGTTTGTTTAAAAATGCAACTTCTGAAGCTGCTAGCAGGGATGGGGCTCAGGATCATTCCCTTCCCCCTGGGCAAGGGCAAGAGGATACTGTGCACAGCCCCTGGCAGACTAGCTGCAGAGGGCTACAAATATAAATGCATGTCAGCCAGTCAGTGGATGGAGGCAAGAGTCCAGGCAGTCTAACACCCATTTAATCCAGTTCCACAACATGATTCACGGTGCCTGAGGCAAAGCAAAAGGCAAGACGAGGATGATATGTTCAGTGTGGAACTGGATTAAATGGGTGTTAGACTGCCTGGACTCTTGCCTCCATCCACTGACTGGCTGACATGCATTTATATTTGTAGCCCTCTGCAGCTAGTCTGCCAGGGGCTGTGCACAGTATCCTCTTGCCCTTGCCCAGGGGGAAGGGAATGATCCTGAGCCCCATCCCTGCTAGCAGCTTCAGAAGTTGCATTTTTA